AGAACATGTGGCGGATCTCTCCCGCCGGGAATTGAACCCGGGTCTCAAGCGTGACAAGCTTGCATACTGACCACTATACTTACGGAAGACAATTTGGCTGTTATCAGCCAATGTAGCGGAGTTTGGTGTCACGGGAAGGGTTCTTGGTGTCTATGTACCCTCAAGAGCTCAGCATGTCAAAGCGAGCTACTCCTGTCTTGCCGTTACCAATATGAGGATGTGTATGGTCTCAACTGTTGCAAATACGTGCCTAGTCAGACGTATTACTATATGATATCAATGCTGAGCACCTTAATATCCTCCTCAGGCTTTTCTTTGTGTGTCCGCACATTCTCGATTTTGTGAATGATATCAAATCCTTGTGTGGCCCGGCCGAAAATTGTGTGCTTTCCATCAAGCCATGGCTGTTCAACGTTAGTAAGTGCTCATCATGAAGAAGAGGAACCAACTCACCGTCTTCTCTGTTGTGATAAAGAACTGGCTGGCGTTCGTGTTAGGTCCTGCATTGGCCATGCTGACCGTAAATGGCTTGTCGTGTTTGAGACTGCTGAACTCGTCCTCAAACTCACGACCCCAGATACTCTCGCCTCCAGTGCCATCACCGAGAGGATCTCCACCCTGGATCATGAACTTACGGATGACACGGTGGAAGATTGTGTTGTTGTAATAGCCGTTCTTGGAATGTGTGACAAAGTTCTCAACAGCTTTTGGTGCTGCGTCGGGGAAAAGGCGGATGTGAATGTCTCCGTATGTCGTATGAATGACGGCGCCGGTACCCGTCTCGGTCTTCTTTGCTTCTGCGTCCTTCTTGTGGCCCAGCATCGTCGGTTTCTCATTCTGTACGTCTCGTGTCGACTTGGAGATATCTTCCTCGTTTGAAAACATGTAAAACCGTACCTTGCCAACACCAGTCGCAACCAGAATTGGATCTCGGGTCTCCGCTTCCTGTAAAAGAGGATTACTGGAAGCACCCATCTCTACTGTCGTCACTCCCTTCTTCTGTGGCGCTCCTTGATATATAGCGATATTGACGGCGCGGAAGTTCTCATCCTTACCATACACTTTAACCACTTTGTTGGTATATGCGTTGAGTACCTTGATCCCCAGCATAGAGCCATAAATGATAAAATTCCCTGACTCGTCGAAAATGACATTGGACTTGTATTTGAGCGTCTGCGACTCAATGTCTCTCTCATGAGCTGCCCTGCGTCCAAACTCGACATTATCAAGTTTAGCGGCCCCCGCCCCTGAACGGTGCATCTCTTCAGCAACCTGCAGAGACTCATCGTACTCGCGATGCAATTTGGCCGTTGCAAAATCAAAGATACGAATCTTTCGATCCGGCAAAGAAAAGGCTACCAAGCTCTTACCGTTTGGGGAAATGGATAGACATGAGGGCACCGATTTAGCCTTTTTGAAATCAAATAGGTTGGTTGAACTCTTGTACTCGAAAACTCCATCTGGCTTTTCGTAGTTCCCGCCCGGTCGCCAATATTCGAGCATGCCACCCTCATCAGCGGACACCACGCAGTCGTATGCCTCATTGAATGCCATTAGATGCACAGGCTTCCTATGCAGTCCCTTAATAGTGTGGATAGCCTCTTCCTTCTCGCCTCGTCCGTCATAGATGTGTATCAGGGGGTTCGTTTCTTCGGAGACAGCCAAGAGTGGTAGGGAGGCGCCCTTGCTGTGGACCCAGCATACACAGTTGGGGGCGTAGTCGAGGGAGATCATGGATAATAGGTCGAACGTGATAACATCGAAGATCTTGACTGTTTCGTCCACACCAGCAGTCGCAAAGCTTCGCCCATCCTTGCTCACGGAAACCGACTTAATCTCGCCATTGTGTGCCTTGAACTCCTTGACGAACTCGATGCCTTGAGCAATCTTCTTCCAGAACTTTACGACACCGTCTATCGAGGAGGTGATGAGGAATTCGGTCAGGGGAGTCCATGTAATAAATAGGATTTGTTCCTTGTGCATCAGGGACTTTGAGTAACGGGGCGACTTTGGCAAAGCTGCAACGTAAAGTTTCTCGTGAGGCAAGACTCTTCTTTTCTTCTTGGGTGCTTGCGAGGGCAGTTGAGGGCCCATGTCATCGTCGGAGGAGCTGTCTAACGATTTGTTAGTGTCGTTAATGGTCACGCAATAGGATGTCGTACCTGACGCATCGTCGCGAAACTCCGAATGGTTTCGCTTCTGAGAGCGATTGTCATCATCTGAAGCCATCTTTGATGATAGGCCTTTCCGGAAATTTAGAATCAGGTGTTTTTGATGTTGCGACAAATTGGCAACTTTCAGATGGAGTTTTGGTTGATTTACACTTTGCGACAGGCTAAGGTTGTTGGCAAGGCAAAGTCAGCCTCATGTGGCACGACCTTCAATTGTGGCTTCATTGTGCCCCACTACGTCTCGACATTCAACTTAAACGGGATTCCATCAGCTCCGAGACCCCGGCTCCGAGGACGGGTCAAATCAAGTTTGTTTCCTCTTTGATATCATGTGAAATAGTAGATTAGACCCAAGCAGTTTCTCTCATTCTTTCATATTCTGCTTGCTCCTCCAGAGAACCTCTTGTCTTGTCTTCGACTCAAACGTCTTACTTAGTTGGATAACCTCACTACCTGCCTTAGACCACAATCATCATGGCACCTCATCACCCACTTCAACGACTCACGTCTCCCTCAAGAGATATTTCGCTATTGCTTCATATCATAGGAATAGCCTCCTTCAGCTATAATTTCCACTTTCTCACAGTTTGGGATACGCCTATTGCCAGATCTTACGGATGGCATATGCAGTTCCTTACCATTATTGGGCTTTCAGCATCATTGATTGCCTTTGTACTCGGGGCATTGGCTGATATTACCCTGAGCCCAACTCTCTTCCAGGCAAAAAATGCTGTTGCGGTTCTTGCTACGCCTCTGGAAGTTGTCATCTCAATATTGTATTGGGGCTTGAGGCTCATCGACCCGAAGCTGCTCATGCCTGATGATGACTTTGACCTAAACATCATCATTGATATGGGATTTCATCTTGCGCCAGCTGTCCTCTTGAGTCTAGATCTTATTCTCCTTAGCCCTCCTTGGACTATCCCAGCTTATGCTGTTATGGCAATCAGCACTGTCATTGCATTTGCCTATTGGTACTGGGTTGAGCTTTGCTTTAGCCACAATGGATGGTACGTTATTCTTTACTTCTTGGTGAATCAGCCAAATACTCACATATGCATAGGTACCCCTATCCCCTATTCGAACTTCTTTCTACGACACAGCGAGTAATGCTGTTCACATTCTCAGCTGGACTAGTTACAGTCTCTTCCTCGTGCCTCAAGTGGGTGTATGGGCGAGTTAATGGCTACGAAACTGCTCAAAGTGAGGCACACAAGCCTCTCAAGAAGATCCAATAACCACCACAATCAATGAAGATTTCATTAATCACAGTGAATATACATACATGGGGTGTTGGACATGAATGGTAGAGGCAATAGACATCTTGTAGTATGGTATCCAGCCACTGAAACATAAGAGGGCAATAAGATTCGTATATACATGAGGTGAAAAATGAGAGGAAATACACCTTTATTTATTAGACTCATGTCTATAGTCGTAGTTAATGAACGTTTGCTGAAGTTTATGTCAAGTCTTGAATGCCAAACGGCAATGACAAACGGTGAGTTTTACACTGAGTGTGGCCCCGCTCCCACGGAAACATCCCTTGAACATCACAAACACACCCCACCAAAGTTCCTCAACTTCGACGAGCAATCTGTGCAGCAGAATACTACCAACTTCGCCGCCAAACTGTCTCTATAACAATAGCCATCGCTTCTTCAAAAATGGACATTGATGACATCCTCCGTCAAGTCGACCCTACGTCTCATACTGTCCCCAGCGAGACACGCGACCTGCAAGCTTTGACGCGTCTCTGGGTTGCCGAGCGTTCAGCACCCGAGCTTCTCGAGTAGGTTTTCCCTCTCTTTTCCTTGTTTTTAGTTACTTATAATATACAGGTGGCCAACAGACGGCTTGTTTGAGCGCGTTAATGCACGTATCAAATCCCAGATCGAGAAGATTGAGGATATGACGGGCGATATGGATCCAAAGACCAACTTTGCCCTCATCGTTATTCAGACGGAGCTCGAGAGGTACAAATTCCTTGTTCGAAGTTTTCTTCGAGCTCGCATAGCAAAAGTAAGTCCCAGTATACTCAATGAACCACAGAAATCTAACTTTCCTCAGATCGATAAACATACCTTACACTACCTCTCAACCCAGGAGCTTAGAGACAGGATGTCACCAACAGAATTAGCCTATGCCACAAGACATCAAGCTCTTCTACACAATCACTACCTCTCGTCCTTCCTGGCATCTTTTCCGCAGCTGCTACAGAATCTCAACGACACTGCAGGCAACATCAGCATGATCGATTCACCAGATCTGGACACGGCTGTCTTTGTTCGCATGCTCAGAGACAAGGACGTTCATGGCAAAGGAACTGATGATGATATCACTCTTCCCGCCGAGAACGGGGATGTGCTCATATTGAGATGGTCAAGTGCAAAGCATATGGTCGATGTTGGAGATGCTGAACTCGTCTGATGTGCTAGCTGCAACAAAGTTTGAGCTAAACACCTACGAGAACTCATGCGCAGTCGGTACATTCACGGTAATTCAATTTTTACTTACTCGTGGCCACCCTCTCTTGCGAGTCAAAGGTATCGAATTGTTCGCATTCGCATTCACCGCCAGTCTCAGCTTTTTAACTCCTAAGCACGATACGCTGATTCTATCTGACTGGATCGTTCAGCAAATCGGAATGACTCAAAGTGCTCAGCCTCTGCATGGCATCCCCAAACCTGTCAGCTCTGCCTCGTTCCCAAAAGGGCAATCAATCTCAGACTGGTCTCAAGCTCCTAGTCCAATCACGGATTTAGGATTCAACAAACAACCCATACTGACCACAGAGGTCAGGATCACGGAGATGGCTTGACAGATATACGCTCCCATATCGCAAAGGGCTTCACCATGATTATAAAAGAGCGAGGTATGCTGCGATGAAATTGTTTGCTCAGATCGCATTACCATTG